GAATTATGTTCTTTAATTCCGACACATTTATTATTACTATTTAAATAAGTCAAATCAAATATATGTCAATCTCAACATAGTTCAACTGGTTAAGATATGATAAATAAAAAGTGATCGGTTCTAATTTCTACCTCACTTATTATGGTTGGGCTGGAATTTGTAGACTCATTTGGGCTTGACTGGGCTGTGTTGGGCCCAGTGGCCCATCGTAGAATGTCAGCAAACGAAAGCGCATATTACCATTTTAATTTGCAGCTTCGAAGCAGACTCCGCGGTGGTAGGGGAAGAGGTTTTTGCTTCTGCAGAATGACGAGAGCGGCTCTCTTCCATTTGCTACGCTCACAATCCAAACGTCTCTCACAAACAAACTTCAATTCAGGTTTGATTCTCCTTTCCGATTCCCTTTCTCAATCCCCCTCTCCAAGAACAGGAGAGATATTTACTTTCTCAAGCTTTAGATTCTGGAATTTTCGCGCTTTCTGTGTAGTAAGAGAATGTATTGGTTGTTGCTTCGCTGAAAAAAAAGTTCAACGGTTAATCTTTAGTTTCCGGAAATGATCTCAACTTAGGTTAGAAGATCCCTTCATGAAATTCTATGCTTAAGCCTGCTTGACTGTTAGCTTGTCTATTAACGAAGATCAGGGATCTCGAATAATCTCATCTTAGATCTTCGAATAGGGATAAATTTTACTTGGAGAAATCTGTATGCTGGGAGTTGAACCTTTTGGGCGCAATCATGTTTGGTTTTTCTATGGCTAGGAATAACAATCACCACCATTTCCATGTTCAGTTGTTAGGAATCGAATGTGGGGATTCTTGAGAAAGTAGGTTTTGTTTGTATGCTTTTTATTTTTTTAATTAATATTTACACCAGCAGTATGCATTTGGTCTATTCTCTATTGAATGCTTGGTCCTCGCTAGCTTGTATAGTTCCTTCACGCCTTCAATATGATTTTCTGCAATGCTTTCTCGAGTTCATGTTAGTATCATTAGGGGATTTTCCTTTGTGCATATTATACAGAGTGGTAACTATTTGATCCAATTAAGCCTCTAGATTTTAACTAACAATGATATATCTTACGCGCATTATTTTTTAGATTCTGTAATAGAAGCTCCAACAAGGTTAGGGAAGTTATTCTCTGCTTGTTAATGGGTATAGCTCAGGGGAGGTTGTGAGACATCTCAATCAATTGCATAGGAAAAGACTGTATTTTTGCATAGCCACCTAACGAACTGCAATCAAAAGAAACAGCAAGTAAATTCGAGAAGCTGAAACCAATAAGCAAACAATTAAAATAATGTGAAAAAATTCTTAATTAGAACCAAGTAAATGGAAATTGTCCATCCCTCACAAGTCGCAACGATGCCAAAAACTTGATGCTATTGCAAGTAAATAGTGTCGGGTTTTAGTAAATGAGACGAGAAAAGAATGTTGCCCTTTAGGATTTGATGTCAACTCGAGTATTGCTTGTTTATTAACTCAAATATTGACAATCTCTTAAATGTTGTAACCCTTGGTCTTTTTCCTTTTGGACCTCGTCACTGAAAGAGTAAAAAGCAAACTCCAACGAAGAATTTCTCTCAATCTCTTAAATGTTGTAACCGTTGGCAATGTTTCAAAAGGCGAACGAGGCGTGCGCCTTGAGGGCGCGCCTTGAGGCGAGGCGGGGAAAAAAGGCCTCGATACCTACGCCTTATATAAATAAAAAGAGGCTTACGCCTTTCATGAGAGAGGCGTAAGCCTCTATTCGTATGCCTTTAAGGCTTGACAGGCGTAAGCCTTTTATTTTGACCGGATGAATTTTATTTTGACCGGCCTTTGTGGTACAACTAAGTTAAATAACTTAGTTTATATCATGTACAATAAAAGATTAAAGGATAAGCACTTGAAGTGAAAGGCTCTCAAAGAGGAAGAAGATCCATTGGTACTAGATGATTTGGCGTCTGATGATGAGTGGATTGTTGAGAACACTAGGGATGGTGAATTTGGAGTTGATGCCTTTATTGAGCATGATGATGATCCTAACATCAATATTTTTGAGCTTGGAGAAGGAAGTAGTACTCAACAGAGAGACGTTAGTGATAAGACAAAACAACCAAAATCTAGAAGTAAAGGTATGTGACTTATGGGAAATTATTTTAATTTTAAATTTCAATGTTAACTTATAAGTTACATATATTAACTTAGGTTCTAACTTTTAAATTTCCAAAATTTATTTCGTAAACAGATAAAGGGAAGATGCCGATGACATTGGATGAAGAGGAATGGGTGGATATTGAAAGTGACAATGAAAATGAGGATGGAGCAATTAGATATGACGATGACTCTATGGAAGATCCTATTAGTGACAGTGATAATGATGTCGTAGACGAGCTTTAGATTTTTATCTCAAGAAAGTTGGATAGACTATCAAGATTTTTCTTTTTRTCATTATTATGTGTGTTTTATGCTTTTATAGGAACATTATAATATTAGGAATACAAAATTTAATGTTTTATCTTTTATGAATTTTATTCTTTTTATCTTTCTATTTAAAATGAGGCTTACGCCTCATACCGCCTCAAGGCTTACGCCTCGTCTCTCCTTGAGAAAAAGCCTCAAGCCCGCCTCAAGCCTTTTAAAACCTTGACCGTTGGTCTTTTTCCTTTTGGACCTCGTCACTGAAAGAGTAAAAAGCGAACTCCAACGAAGAATCTCTCTCCCTAGCTCCCTAACTAAAGAAGGTAGAATCAATCTTTTTGCTCATGGAAGTTAAGATTGCAAACTCAATTCACAAGCTCTAGTACATGGGAAGGAGCTACAAGTGACGGGGGCTGCCACTTGGTAAGTTTAGTGTTTAACTTCCCATTGATTTCAGGAGCTCGGGATTGGTTACCATTACCTTAAAAGTAGAAGCTGCTCTCATCTTGTTAGATGTAAGTGGATTTGGAGATTTCACCTTAAAAAAGATACTTATTGGAGAAAATGTGTTGAAACTACATATGGCATAACAAATAATAAATGTATTTTATATTATCTGTAAAGAAGTTTTACTCTCTATTTTGTGGCTCCAACGAAGGGTGAACTTATGATCCTTTCGTTACTACAACATAAGTACTCTTCCTACTGTTGGAAGCGTTCAAAAGTCTTCAATGGGTTTTCCTTCCCTCCTTTCGTAATAAGATGTTTCCACTGAATTTTAATTAAAAAAAAAAGGTTTTATGAGCAGCCTATTGATGTCTTGTCTTTTTCTTCCCTTTTTTAGGAGGTAGCAAAAAAATCTTGAGGTACGTTTTATTATCGTCTCTTCAAGATCATATTGCCTATTTACAACGGTAACCAAGCACAGGCCACAGGGATTCTAGTTTGTTACCCCATCTCTTTAGGATCATTACCTGATGTCACTATCCTTTATGAGTCCGTCCCTTCTCGATTAACTATTTTGGATTTGCTGAACTCACCTGTTGTGGTGCAAGGTTCCTCGACTTAATATCAAAAACAAGAAATTAGAAGCTATGATAATATATATATTAGTGTTCTACCACCCTCTTCATTAGTAAGTTTTCTTTTGCCTCAGGTTATCATCTCCAAAGGTCATCAGCATGGACCAATGAAAAATGTGGACCCACCAGCAACTCCGTCTCCCAGCTCAGTGCAGTTCAGAAAAGATGGGCATCTCAAGCTACAAGAAGAGAAGATGAAAGCAAGATCAGCATTGGACCGCGCAGAGACCAAGAAGCTGAGGAAGATGAAAAAAACATTGCTTATGTGGGACCAATCTCGTCCACCATCAAGAAAGTGAAGCTTCTCTCTTTATCCACATGCTGCCTCTCGGTATCGCTTGGCCCGGTCATAACCTTCATGACGTCCCCCGACATGAATGTGATCCTGAAGGGTGCTGTTGCATCTTCTGTGATATTCTTAAGCGCTACTACTACTGCAGCACTTCACTGGTTTGTGAGCCCCTATGTCCATAGAATTAGATGGAAACCAGGTTCAGACACTTTTGAGGTCGAGATTATGTCGTGGCTGGCAACTTACATTCCTCGAACCATTCGGTTTGCAGATATTCGACCACCAGAAACAAATCGTCCCTTTGTGACGTTCAAGGCCAATGGAAGCTTCTATTTCGTTGACACAGAGCACTGTCATAACAAGGCTTTGTTGGCCAGACTGACTCCTCCGCAGCACGAGTCTGCTTTTAGAAACTTGTGATTTTCTGAGAGCTTTTTGTATTTTCACCGAGTTGATGATAGCCAATGATATGGCTGAACGATGAGGTCATAAAAATCATGTACTTTCACAATGGATAAATTGCTTTACATTTTGGTTATGAGACCATTTTTGTCATAAAAATCATGTACTTTCACAATGGGTGATTGTGAATTTTTGCCAGATCTGTTGAGGATAGAAGAGCCAATTTATTTGCTTAATAAAAAAAGTTGAGTTATCCTTAGTATGTGTTTATACCATCAATCCACGATCACGTCAAGATCCCATCAAAGGTTGTCAGTTGAGTTCTGGCAATTGACCTCTGAACTTTTTAATTATATATATAAATGGTGGGAAAATTTTCGTGGGGAAGGCTTTCCTACCCATCCCTGCCCTTAATTCCTTGTTCTTCAATGTAATTTTGAGGGGATCAAGGCCACGTTTTCTTGTGGAGAATTTGTGGGGATTGAGTTCCTTGCAGAGGAATTTTCCCTCTTTTTTTATTATTTTTTAATAAATATTTTTCTTAAAGATTTTTTTAATATAATTGCTTAATTTCTAAAAATAAAATATCATTTACAAGGCCTAATTATTCCAAAAATGTATTACGGGGTGAATAGAGAAGAATTGTATATATATATATTAAAAAATGAACCCATCCCTCTTTAGGTGGTGGGAAAAAATTCTCCCCCCTCCAAGGAGAATCTAAATGAAGATTCTCCAACTATTAAAACAAGTCTCCAAAGTAAATAGCCATCCCTAGTGGTAGACGACCTTTTGGTCGAAAATATGCTTAATTGAGTCGAGATAGTTACGAGGATTTCTACCATTGATATAAGTACAATGTAAAGTCTAACAACATTAAAAAATATATATATATTTGTAAAGAAAAATCCATGGTGAAAATAACCTTTTTTTAATTGAAAAAATGTAGTTACTAAAATGAAGACTTAGAATAAGTTAGAATGAATGTGTAAAGCGTATCAGTTGAAAAGACTATAACTTACATCAATAATGAGTGTAAAGCGTTTCTATTGAAAAGACCATAACTTATATCGATTCTTTAAAAAAACAGAGTAAAAAAGAACTACATTATGAAATTAAATCAGTACAAGGCACACTTATAGACGATACATTATGAAATATAACTCGAATTTTATATACCAAAAAAAAAACACTTGCAGTAAAAGTAGTTTCAGAATTATAGACGATATCAAATGTGATGGGGGTATTTAAGGGTAAATTCACAATTAGATAAAGACATGATGCAGCAACGAAAACTGAGAATAAACTTCTAAAAACCACAACACCATTAGAATGTATAGTTCCAACAGCTTACTATGCGAGTAATCAACTGAACCAGGAGATTTAATAATAATATAACACAAACGCTAAATTATGAAATGAGAAACTAACCAGTAAAGTAACAGAAAATGAGTTTGATAAAACAAAAACACGCATAAATATAGGTTCCAAACTTTAAAGGATAGAAGAAGCCTTGCCACCGACGATCAAGCACCCAGTTCTGCAAAAAGTCGCTCAGCGACGATGGAGAAAATTTGAAGACACGACCGAAAAGACGAACACAAAAACAAGAAGATGATATATCAATCAGAATCCAGCCATCACTGTGAATATCATGGACATGACCGCATTCACTGGAGCCAACCTCGGCTGTCCGCACCATTCACTTGCCAGACTTCTTGGCAGCAGACTTGGTGACCTTGGCGCCTGATGGATCCTTCTTCTCCACGGCTTTGATGACACCAACGGCCACGGTCTGACGCATGTCCCTCACCGCAAATCGTCCAAGTGGCGGGTACTCAGAGAAGGTTTCCACCACCATGGGCTTTGTGGGAACCATCTTAACAAACCCTGCATCACCATTCTTCAAGAACTTGGGCTCTTTCTCCAGTTCTTTACCAGATCGCCTGTCGATCTTCGTCAAAATCTCAGAAAACTTGACAGCGATGTGAGAGGTGTGGCAGTCGAGAACTGGGGCATAACCATTTCCGATTTGACCTGGATGGTTCATGATGATAACTTGGGCAGTGAAATTGGCAGCTTCCTTGGCGGGATCATCCTTGGAATTTGAGGCAACATACCCACGCTTGAGATCCTTCACGGCAACGTTCTTCACGTTGAACCCCACATTGTCACCAGGGAGAGCTTCTTGGAGAGCCTCATGATGCATCTCAACGGACTTAACTTCAGTTGTCAGTCCAGATGGGGCAAAGGTGACGACCATACCAGGCTTTAGAATGCCGGTTTCCACACGACCCACGGGGACGGTTCCAATACCTCCAATCTTGTACACGTCCTGAAGTGGAAGGCGAAGGGGCTTGTCAGACGGTCTCTTAGGCTCATGGATCAGGTCAAGGGCCTCAAGAAGGGTCGGACCCTTGTACCAGTCGAGGTTGGTGGATCTTTGAATCATGTTGTCGCCCTCAAATCCAGAGATGGGGACGAAGGGAATTTTTTCTGGGTTGTACCCAACCTTCTTAAGGTACGAGGAGACTTCCTTGACAATTTCATCGTACCTAGCTTTGGAGTACTTGGGGGTAGTGGCATCCATCTGTTATCAAAATTCAAAAGCACTGACTGAGTCATCAAAGTTCATTCGAACCAAAAACAAGATAATTGAATAAATCCAGTATTAAGCACTAAATTGAACTGAATATTCATAATACGCCATCAAAGAAACAATGAGTGTTGTGGAACACAAATAGTAGAAAAAGAATGATAATGGTCAAAATTACCTTGTTGCAGCAGCAAATCATTTGCCTGACACCAAGGGTAAAGGCAAGAAGGGCATGTTCACGGGTCTGCCCATCCTTGGAAATACCAGCTTCAAAACCTCCAGTTGTGGAGTCGATGATAAGAACAGCACAGTCAGCCTGGGAAGTACCAGTGATCATGTTCTTGATGAAGTCACGATGTCCTGGAGCATCAATAACAGTGCAGTAGTACTTGGTGGTCTCGAACTTCCACAAGGCAATGTCAATAGTGATACCACGCTCACGTTCAGCCTTCAGTTTGTCCAACACCCAGGCATACTTGAACGATCTCTTGTTCATCTCGGCAGCTTCCTTCTCAAACCTCTCAATAACACGCTTGTCAATGCCTCCAAGCTTGTAAATCAAATGGCCAGTGGTGGTCGACTTGCCAGAGTCGACATGGCCAATTACCACAATGTTAATGTGAACCTTCTCCTTACCCATTCTTGAATCTCACGAAAAAGAACTGCCAAAAAATTAAAAGTTCAATACAGCACAAGGATAGGCAAATAACACAAACAAATAGCAGACACAAGAAAAATCACTACTTTGAGTTAAACACCAAATTTTCGTTATTAAATGCCTACCTTAAAAATTAAAATTAAATTAAACATATCTGCACCAAGGACTGAGTTCAAACATCCACCACAATCGAAGTCTAATAGTTGAAAGACTTGCTAATTATGAAAACAAAGATTCTCGGAATAAGACGGAACAGATAAAACGAACAAGCACAATAAAGAACGACCAATCCATCAATTAAACATGATATAAATCCGATCTACGTGATTATAAGACCTGGAAAACAAAAACCTAATATTTACATGTAAATAACAAGGATCGGCTACGAATACATATCTATTATCAAACAGATCGACAGGAAGAATACAACAACAACAGATGAAAAAAAAATACTCCGATGCAAAAGTCCAACTCGAAATCTCAAAACAAACAACATTTGATATCGCGATCTTCACGAAAAAAGCAATAAAAGCTGTAGAAACCAACAGAATTAAGAGAAAAAACAAGACAAATAAATGGAAAAGCGAAGGAAGACGGATGGAAATCCGAACCTAATGAAGGAACTGGCTCTTAAACCCTTGCGGCGAGAGATTGTAGAATGGAAACTAGATTGGCGGGGCTAATAGGGTTTGAGGATCAATAAATAGGGTGTCTAAATTTTAAGTTGACGAAACTACCCCTAATGTAATTCTAAATCCCCAATGGCGGCCCTAATTTGAAAGTTCGTTGAAATTAAAAAATCTCCGAGGTCGGTGGGTGCGTGTCTTTATCTTTGCCTTTACAAAAATGATTTTTTTTCAGTACTCAAAAAAAAAAAAAAGAAAGAAAGAAAAACATCATTATTATAAAAAAAAATGTTACGATATCGGCGAGAAAAAAGAGAAAAAAAATATATTGGATCCTCCGAATTCCGAAACATATACGAATAAAAAAATAAAGCGTTGATTTTCAAATCACAGCTACAAAATTTGATAGTTTATATATATATATATATATATATATATATGAAAAATGGAAAAAATACCTTTTTAGCAAAATTATTTATGAAAATATAGATGTTAACACATGAAAATAATATAAAATTTAATATTATAATATTTCTAAATTTATATTTTTAGCTTTTAAATAGAATATTTAAAAAATAAAAATATACAATTTGATGACATTAAAAAATTTAATAAGAAATCACTGACCTCTGATTTTAAATTACATTTTCAAATGAGTTTATATTTTATAAATGTTAAATATTTACTGCATGATGGTTTTACCCATTAAAATAATTTCTTTTCCTATTATATTAAATACATTTATATCCAATCAAAAGATCGTGAGTTCGAATTTACACACATATATCAAAAAAATATTTATGTAGGGCGTATGAAGTATTTTGCACTAAAAGATCATGAAAGAAGGTGGTTAATTGCATAGATAATCAATGATATATTACGTTTTTTATAAAAAAAAATGGTATATTACGTTGAGTTAATTAACAATTCATTTTACAAATCGGTTGATTTACTGGTGGCAAAAATTTATTAGAATATATAATAAATAATAGAAAGGATCACATCATTATTTCCTAACTAATCATAAATCATATGAGATTGAACTAAGGATTTGTTTGGTTGGTTATATAAAATGTATTATTTGTTTGTGTGTTTAGATGTATTTGAGAGTAGATTTGTAAATATTAATATATGAGATAGTTAACAACTAAATATTTAGTTAAATCTCAAATAATACAAATTAATCCATTAACACTTTTATTCTAAATTTGTAGAATTATTATTTTGCAATATTATATAAATTATAATATATGTAATTAAAATGTTTAAATGTTGCTAAAAATGAAAACAAAATAGAATTTAACAATATAACTTCTTAATCACTCTTTTAATTACAACTAAAAGTTAAAACATAACAAAGTTTTTTTTTATCCGAAAAAAAAAGATTAATAACTAATCTTAAATGTATAGAATGCAGAAAATTCCATCCATTTCAATTGGAAAAAGATTTCTAACTATTCCAAGGAATAAATATAACAAACAAAGAACTCAGTTGACATCCGATCTAAACGAGTCAACAAGCCAAAAGCTATGAAGAATTTATTTATTATTGTTTTTTTTAGTACAATATGTGAGATCGAAGTTACAACCTCTTAGTTGGAGATGTATGTCAATCACCACTAAGTTATGCTCGTTTTGACAGTTGTGAATAGTTGTGAATCATTTTGATGATAAAATGAAAAAAAAAAGAATAAATTAGTTATAAATTAAGAAATACGTTACTGTATAGAAATCAATAGCAAAATAAATTGATATACCTATTAAGTAGGTATACAAGTTTCCCATCAATGATGTATATAAAAAAACCAGGCAGGGGCATAACAAATGTGGACAATATGTAAATTGAATATTGAACCTGCGACCTACAGGAAGATATCTGGGTGGGCAGTTTGATAATTATTTTGATTTTAATTTACTATTTTTTTAAATTATGTTTGTTTTTTTTCTGTACACTTTTATTAATAAAACTATTTTAATTTTATGGAAAAACATATTTAAAATTATAGTCAAATTTAAAAAAAAACAAAATTTTTAAAATTGTTTTTTTTAATTTGGCTTAAAATTTGAAATTATTTTTAAAAAATTATATAACAAAATAAATAAACACAAAGTAATGTTTAAAATATATAGTAAAAAATAAAATGTATATTATTAAACGGATATTAAATTACCTAAATGTTGTGGTTATTTTATTTTGACAATTATCTTTTC